AATAGTTATATTCCTGGACCTTAAAGCAGTATTGACTCTGTGGATCATGAGGTTCTATGTCAGAGTCTGTCTTTGAAAAGTCCACCAAATATATACATTAACCTTATATACATTAACCTTACAAGCAAGTAAGCTTTGTTGCCATCCCTCGCTACCTCCCTTTCCCAATTATGATAAAAACACAATGACTCTATCATGGATTCCCTTCCCCATGTTTGATAATGGATGACTGCGGTGGAAGTTCATTCTATGAGCTGGACGATTTGGTTGTGGAGCTATCACTGTTCTTCTGAACAGCATCATCAGCACAAACTTCAGACAAAAGTGAAGTATTCGAAGTCTTCTCCAACACGCTCTATAGCTAGGTGGATGGTCAAAGCATCTGTCATTGGCTAGCGAAAGGCAGCGACTAGGATTACCCATAATAATAATAGTGATAATTATTCTCAAATAACAGTACGCTACAAGAGACATGCCATTTTACAGGCTAGATCAAATTGCCACAAATGCTTTCAGATTTACTGCAAAAGTTGTCGCAGTTAAATTGAGTAAAAATGTCAGTTTTTGACAGCACATTTACACCATGTCACTGACAGAAACAGTATGATACAGCCACATTATCAATAGGAGAGTACAAATAAGGAAGGTGCGCAGTAGGTTTCTTGGGCGGTTTGTTTAGGTTAGTGGTGAATTTATTGCAAAAGGTCAAATGGACGCGCTTGATACAAGCTGTGATCCTGTAACTGAGTCAAAATCCCTATGTAAATGTTGTTAACCCATCCTGTTTTCTTTCTATTTCAGGGCGATCAAACACTAACGCTTTGGAAGCAGAAGAACAAGCCCTGAATTCTCTGAGCTTACAGGAGGACTCATCAGACCTTGGCACACCGCCCACTCTATTTCTGTAGAAACCCCGCGTGTTTAATTTTTTAAAAATAAAGATTGCCTTGGCGACGACTTCGTGTTCTCCCTCTTGGTGTGAACTGTTGAGCTAACTCTGTGTGTTGCGATTTTAGATCGGATCCGCTGTTCGGTGACTACTGTAAACGCGTGTTACAATCCAGACATGCATGTACATAGGGTGCATGTTCCCTAGAGGTGCCATGGATTTTTCGCAGTGAATAGGATTCTGAAAAAAGAGAGAAGAGAGAGAGAAGGCATCAGCGTAGCAAGTGTATATATATGACCAAAGCACTACTTAACCTGTCATGTTGAAGTAGTTAATACAGTGGTAAAGTCAAGATAAATTTTATACTGACCACTAAAATTAAAGTAAATTATAGGAATATAAGAATATAACCCACAAATGAAGCAGTACAGCAGTGAAATAATTCGAATAGTGCCATCAGGCAAGGGAACACCTTCGATAAAAGTAGACACGGATTATCTCAAAAGGTCAGAATGTGAACTTGTGACAGGTAGGAAACCCTATAGATATCAAGGACATTCAGAGTTTGATAGCGTTTGGTGTATCGAAAGATCCGTGATTTAACCCAGCTAGTTGTTGTGAGTGGTGCGCTAACAAGCACCATCAACTGGCGTGTATCCAGTATCAAATCTATTTTGAAAGCTTTGTTTTTGGAAAATCCCTCCATGCCTCAAATATTATCTCTAAATCTAGACGACTAATTGGGTTTATAAACAAGAACTTCTTCACAAGTGAGGCTAAGCTTACTCTCTTCAAAATCTGTATAAGGCACACACTTGAATATTGTTCACTCATATTTTCAAACATGAATATCATGGACAAAATGCGAGTAGAAAATGTACAAAGAAGCTTCACCCGGCGACTGCTCGGATTGAGCCATAACCCCAACTACACAGAAAGATGCAAGCATCTTTCCCTAGAACCTCTATGGCGCCGTCGTCTCAAAAACAACCTAATGCTCCTCTATAAACTAATAAATGGTCTTTCGTTCGTAAAATACCGCCCAACTATGAACCACGACACTGCTTACAGACTTCGAAACAACGCATATACACTATTAACGGCAAAACACAAAAAATTATTGCGTTCTAATTTCTTTGTAATACGATACAGTCTACTGTGGAACAGGTTACCAGTTACTATCCGTATTTGTGACACAATCACTAAGTTCAAGAAACTAGTCATGCTGTTGCTAGACTCTAAAGAGATATACCGACTATTCCCGGAACTCACACAAAGTCCCCAGGCACTCTTTTATGGTCCACCAAATATTTAGATGAACCTCGGAAACCAATTATAGACTATGAACACATTGTGTTCTCATTACCACCCATACATGTATCATGAAATGATAGACGAATCCCCCTGCTCCTACTAACAGTAATAGGTTACGCCTTTGAAGTGTTACCCGTGACTTTACTCTGAATTTAAATTCCGATTATTATTTTCATATCTTCAAAGCAGTTTTAGTTTTTATTTCTAGTAGACAGACGAATTGAAAAGCCTGTAGATGCTGTTCAACTACTGTCAATTACAAGGAACTCAAACACCGTGTATCATTGTGAGTATCTCCTTATTTAAGTACTAACAGTTTAACTAATTTTTATTTCCCCAATTCATTAACATGCAAACACCTTGCCTGCTTACCAACTTATCGCTTTACTCATTAATTTTTAACATTATTTCAACTCTTTTTTTTCACTTTCTCCTCGTTCCAGCTCCCTGTCCTTCCTATTTCCAAACTACCCATTACCTGACTCATCTTACAAATCATAACATTCGTTTACTTAAATCAGTGTGATATGCTATGTGGATATATTATCTGGCAAAGTTGTCTGGATTGCTTGTAATGTTGGAGCTAGTAGAGAATGTTAATTCCGATAAGGTGTACAAAAAAAAATTGAGAGTAGACTAGAGACCATTATTTACAATTAACCATTAAACGTAAGAGAGCCTAACATCACAAAAGGAGGGAGGGTGGTGTATCTGACCAGCATTCATGACGGTGGGGCGATAACCTCAATCTACCCATGTCTGTGTGGCAGAACATTTTGTTTGCTTACGGCTCCTTACGATATAGCAGGATGTAACAAATCAGTGATATTGATGTTACTTTTCCTTGTTAACCTCGTCTACGACTCATGTCTGTAACCTTGCACTGGTTTTTACTTCCTACCGAGAAATCCTATTACAAGCTGGTCTGGATAACTATACTAAAAAAGAGCTCATTCATAACTTCTTGAGCAGCAGAGTTAAAAATAAAAAGAATAAATAAAACAAAAAAATTATATCACTGTGCCTCTTTATTATATTTTGTAAATCAGCATTATTACTAACAACTTGGTTCTTCTGAATTTCCTCTGTTCATTCGACTAACTTCCCATTAGTTATCTCACTACTGAAGTGTCTTCATTAACCTACATAAAGGCAGGTGTAAAGTGTTCTGATATTAAAAATGTTTGGGTAAATATACCTTTGTTTTATCCATAAACGTATGTGCGAAGCCGTTGTTCGGTTTTGAACAGGAATATTTTCTGTTCTGCTCCTCGTCCCGTTTTCTTTATTCTTTTATTCAGAACCTTATTCCAATCCACATATATTAGTCTGGATATTTGTAGTAGACTTGGTTACCCTACCCAAGAACATGTGAAATCATTAGCTGACGAATATCAACCAGACCTTTGTACATTTGCCGCATCAATCCTTGTTATATGAAAACCTGTCTGTACCATGAATCATTTCTCAGCCCATTTGATGATTGTCGTAACTCAACCTTCGTAACTTGCGCCAATTACTCGCTTTGTACATTCCATCTTTAAGAAAACAATGAATCTTGTGAAATGATTCAGTTACCGTATACCGTTTTAAAAGAAATATGTTGATCTTGCCTGTAAATTGGCATGTCTCTTGTAACATGTTTGTTATTTCAGAATAAATTATTATTATTGTTATTATTATTATTATTATTATTATTATTATTATTATATGACACAGTCATCATTAATAAAAGGGACGAGCTGGAGAACACCTTCAATTGGACCAACATAGAATAAATTCCAAATTCTCCCTCTGTAAACCAGTAACTGGTGGGATATATTAAGAATCTACTCCATTTTGTTGACCTTTTATACTAAATGTAAGTGAACGCCTGAATATAATTAAGTCGCCGATGACATATTATACAGATGATGAAAAATATAGCGAGAAATGACGGGGAAAGCAGATGCAAGTATACTTCATGCCAACTTAGAAATTCTGATTAGTTAGTTTAATATATGTTTCACGCCAATCGATTCATCCAAATGTTTCCACATACTTATTTGGGATACAAAGTTGATTAGGTACAGAATTAGGAAAGCGTTGATGCATGTAGTACAGTCTCATGGTGATCCCTCGAAAATATCCAGCCATAATCCTAAGATCAGGGCTCACTACCGTGTGTTTAATGCGAAAAGATCCGTAACACAATGGACATAGGACGTATATTCACCAAGTTAGATACTAGTATGTTGTCTGTAGTATATACAACCTTAGTGGGAACCAGACTTGAAAACTGTGTTTCGACTTCAAGACTCTGTTTAAAAGGTTACTAGGATGTACTGAAAAATATACAGAGGGAGGCTAACCGAGAAATTTCAGAAGTTAGAAGTTTGTTATTCACATAGGAGCTTAAAAAGCTGACACTCTTTACTCTATCTAAATGTGGATTACCTGGTGATCTGATTTTGGTGTATAAAATACTGAAAGATTATTTTCAACCTGATATATGGTTCCTTTTTCTTAATACTACCTGAAGAACATAGTAGGAGGACAATCAAAATACCTGTGAAAGACTGGTGTTAACTTTGAGTCATCAACTACTTGAATCTGTTACCCGAGGTCGTGGTGTGAGCAACTTCCATCAGCCCATTGAAAAGAAGAGGAAACGCTCTAATAGGCTTATTAGAAAGGGAATGACACAGTCAATTGGCCTTCTCTATCGAACACACAATCTGGATCTGAATATATATCCGGATCTTGGATGGTTGTTGTTAAGTCGCTCGTGTGACCTTCGCGTAATATCAAACTTGGGCGATGCTTGTCTTGCTCGTATTGTCGTTGCTCCCTATAGTTTATTGTGATTTTAAATTAAGTGCTTCGAAGCTCCTTCTGCCTTACTATAGCGTTAACCCCGTGAATTACACTCTGCATGGTAGTGAAGAGGCTTGCTATGAATGGTTAGTTTGTTAGTTTTCTGACATAAAGTAGGCATTCGGGCACACCGGAGGTAGCTGTAGTGAGCCCAATAGTATCATCTGAAAATGGATGCTCTTCAGCCACTGTTATTACGGCGGTTTGGCAATCACGCCATAGGGCTGTGGCTACTATTTACGCCAAAATAATTAGTAAGTGAAATAATTTTTGACAAATGTCTAGATGTTGATCACATTGTTAAGTGTGATGTTATCGTCGACGACATACATCGGATCGAAATAGCCACCACCACCCAGGAACTTTATCTTCATAACACTCCAGTTTCTCTCGTAGTGACTGCTTATGATGAATATGGCAATACTTTCACATCTCTTGAAGGTGTGCCATTTGAGTGGCGTATATTTGAGGATAAATATGAAGAGTTCGGAGATATTCAAGGCGTGCTCAGATTTATTACTTGGAGCGAGTCAGAATACACAACTCCAAGCACAATGTCTTTACTGGAATCAAAGGGGATGCAGGTTAGCTGATAATTTAATCTACCATTCCTATAGGGTTACATGCAACTAATAAGTGGTTTGCGTACTGGCTCTGCAGTAGTCAGTGTGGCTCTTCATGAGTCTATATACAGAAATGTACCGCCAAGCCAGGTTCGTCTACTCGTTATGGCAAATGCCCAGTTGAGCCCAGCGCTAGCTTACCTTATCCCCAATTCCTTGTTGACTTTCACTGTACACGTTATACAACAAGGTGATGATCAAGGTGAGCTCTACATTGTCGAATTTTTGTTTTTTATTGTAATGAATAGTGAATAATTTCCACCTAAAATCCAGTGTTGATGTCCTTACGCTCCCCCTAACCGCCGAATTATCTGTTACTAAGCTAAGCTTTACTACTTAAGTCTTTATGTACATATTGTAATATAAATTATGCAGATCAATGGCACCTAATCATACATCATCTTTTACTGCTGTCTTCATAATTTTATGCGGTTTTATTTCCTGATCAGTGCTTACAAAGGATTTGCTAACTAACTGCTCTTACTTTTTATCAATATAAGTGTCATGTGCTGTGTAATCCCTCAAAATTGTCATCAAATACTTTCATACCTATAAGGTTTCCATTAGACTGCCTTTTCAGTGCACAAAGATTTATGTAACTCCTGGCACAATGGGGTCTTGTCGTCTATGTATTTGCATATTATGAAAACGTTCACTGTAAAATCTGTGAAGGGACTCTTTTGTCTATCTGCACACCAGTGAGTTTCAGGGTTTGTCTAGTTTCATAATTTGTTTCCAGAAAGTTATATTTCTAGGAATCATAATTAATAATACATCGAGGAGGAAAATTAAATACGTAAAAATTTCAGCGATTTAACTTTAAGTAAATTCAACATTTTGCTGAACAATCTAGTTCAAGCTTGTTTATTACGTTAACTTACCACCCAACTATTATGTCAATAATTGTTTAACTACAAGTTCTTGTACACAATTATTAATCTCTAGGATTATTATGACAGCCTAATTTTTAAGTGATTTCTAAGTAAGTTTCTATGGCTTGCTAAAATATGAGTTTGTTTTCAAAAAACCCGTTTGTCTGTGGATTGTTTAATCATCTGTATGATTAAATATGTATATCTCTATTTTCCACCCATTTTCCAGAGGTGTCTATGCCGTCTCTTCAATACCACTTGCAGGTAAACGATACAAGCATCGCTGTTCTTAGTCCACTTGATGGCTCTACTCTTAAAGCTCTAAATTACGGCCAAACTGAGGTTACGCTTCTTGATCGGAGTAAGTTAATCGCAACACTATTCATTTGTTCCCTATATATATATACCCTTTACGATCTTGAAGAGAACAAGAACAAAAATTTTAACAGAATAACATGAATTAATTTTATTTCGTTTTGTTCTCATTAACTGATTACAACCTATATTAATTACAAATTGGCTTTGAATTGCTTAGGAGAGTTTAGTTGGAAGTCACTATGATCATACAGGATTCTGATGCAGCAAGTGTTTAGATGATTTTAATTTACTGAATAAGAGATTGTAAATATATATCGCATGCAAAAGAACGTTCTACAACATTGATAATAACAAAAACTTAGTTGTCTATAAACAAGTGCTTATATAATGAATAAAATTTGATGATAGTTAAGAATAAAATTAGTAAAGTTCAGCTACTTACTGATCTAAAAGACGGCCAAAATAAAAACAATGATTTCATTAGTTGAAAAGAAGTTGAACAAGATTTAACGATGTAATGAGGGCATGCTTATCACCAAGACAGAGAAGGACTAACAACCATTTCCTTTTGAACAAAAAAATCAGGTTCCAGGTACTTGATTTCAGTGACTTTGGAAGACTACAGCTTCGTTGTTTAATGCATCAATCACCTTAAAGAATTGCAAGGCACCAACCTAATATCCTATTTTCAAGATATATTGAGTGATTACAATGTTTAAAATAGATCTTTCTTTTGTTCGAAGGATCTTAGGAACATGTTCTGCGGCTTACTCGGCGTCAGAAGGACGCAGCAATCAAACTCCTTAGAGTTCTACGTATTGATAAAAAGCTAAGAGTATACTTCAGGAGTAACTGGTAAACGGCTAGACAATAATGTAAGTGATGTCCACCCTGAGGCAGCTTGAAACGATGTCCAAAGAGCTGTGGAAGCAGCAGTAATATCTACCAGTAAGTTAAACCAAAAGGTTTGGGAGAAGCAGTGGATTTCAGTAGCACCTACTGAACTGATAGATGCTCGGAAACTCATCCTGTATGACTCTGAACATAATGAGGAGTGGAAGCAGCTTGAACACAGGCTGATAAAGAGCCTACCCGATGATCACAGCCACTGGTGGGTAGCGAAAGCAAAATAAATGGAAAAGGCGGTGGCAATAGGTAACAGTAGACAACTGTTCAGACTTATTAAAGAAACTGATATTAAAGATCAGGTTGTTAGAGGAAAGATAGGACTATTATTCATTCCCGATCTGGGAGACTGAATAGATTGGGTAGCACACTTTAAGGGACAGTTCAGCTGTCTTTAAGCAACTCCTCAACTACCCACCATTTCTAAACGACCTAAATGGCAAATTTATGTAAGCACTCCAACTTAAACTGATTTACGTACGTACAAAGGTCTACGTTGTAGGTGACTGTCTATCATGTAAACTAACACTTCTTTGGTCTATTCTACTTTTAGATTGATATATTTTCTCTTTACTATTAGATGTCGAAGAAGCCCTAGAAAAATTGGATGAAGTTTTGAATTCCAAAGTCGATGATTCAGATCTTCCTTTACCAAAACGAAGACGTCCAACTTCACTTATACATATTGTCGAGCCAGCCTATTTAGGTTTTACACTCGTCCAAAAGTTTACAGATAAGAATCCAGATATATGCCAACTGGCTTCATTTTTAAACTCAGGATCATATGTTAACCAGGTTGCATCTGGCTCTTACATACCTATTCGAAGATGGATAATGGAATCAGGGAAAGTTTATGTCATTCACTTAGACATATATGATCGTAATAACCACCGTTTATACCCCTCTGACAATCTACGACTGTCTCTTCATTTCCCAGAAAGCCACTTTGAAGTAAGATCATGTGTTTATTCTAATAGTTTTCTCAAGTGTTCTGGCTCTCGATATACTGGTCTAAACTAATTGAATGATTTATATCGATATGTGTTTTCTGTTCATATGCTTTGGTACTGATGTTAATAGTGAACCAGTTTAGAATGTGGCTATGGTATGTATAAGTGCAATCTTGAATTCACACGATTATCAAAAACACATAATATAATGAAACGCGACCTAAGTTCTATCATTACTCATCTATATAATATTAATACATCTTACTATTTATATACCGTTTTCGGTGTATATCCCAGGTATTGATAACACGTATGCTAAAAATGTCGCTAAATTGAAATTTATCCATGCGTTATGAGACAATATAAAACAATAAGCAATGCAAAAAAGTTTTTGTCTAATTGTTGGTTGGATAATTATAAGCTTGGTGCTAATACGTTATTCATTGTATGAATAAAAATCTAGGTCCTTATAATGATGAGAATGCGTGAAGTTAAGCCTTTTGTATGGTATATTTTCACCCGTAACAGAAAAATTTAATACATTAGTCTATAACCAAAGAAGTACTATATTTTAGACTCATCACAACTTCCTACATGACAAATCGAATATGTACTTTTATCGCTGATTTCCTTAAACAAAACTATGTTTAATCTTTTGATTCATTGTTTCAAACCTGTACCTAAAACATTGATATCTAACCTAAGTTGTAATCTGTAGTTGGAAATCCACCTACAAATTAACATATATCTGGTATCCTTCATGTACTGATTGTACTTAAGTCCTTGAACGAACTGGCTTTTTATTCACTGTTTACTGGATACCAAGAAATTACCCTCCTAAAGTGTTCTCTTTTTTGCTGATACGAATATTGTAAGGTTCTGAAGTTGTACCATTTTGTTAGTTTCTATAGCATCTTACTTCAAGTTCATGATCTATTTTTCAGATTTTAAAATCTTCGTTAAATCAAACTTATGTTATTGTTCGAGCGTGTACACCTGGTTCAGTGTCGCTCAAGGCGATCTTAAGAGGTGTTCAAGACCAGGTATGTTTATTTGACTTTCACGTATTAAAGCGCATTAGTTTACATTCATCTAGTTTTTAAAACTTTCATAAATGATTTTTTAACTATCGCAATGGTCATTTGTTCATTAACAAAACAATCATACCTGCCTTGCGGATGTATGGTTTTATAAAAGATGTTAATTTGTTTGTGATTTTTATTTCATGGTTTTATTCTTAAGCTTATAAATCCCATTGTTTTCGAATTAGACCTCTTCCTAATAGTGAAAAGATGGCATCTCATTTATGAGTAACATCGTACTACCGTTAAATCTCAAGACAATCAGCAATATAAACTTGGTCTCCTAATCTGAGACTTATTTTGACCTTGGCGTATCCGGCATTGTAGGACCTCAGTAAGAAAAAATTCCATATAGTGTTATCCCTTTGTGATGTTACTAAAGTCCAGTTTGACAACTTCAAGAAGCTAACAACTATCAGAAGTGACATTAAGAGTCATCTTCGTAATATGGGTTCGTATATTTGGTTTTGAGGTTCAGTTATTATGTAGGAACCAATTTTACTACTTGAGTAAATAAACTTCAGTAGGTGGAGCGAAGCTGAGTTCGAACTCTAGCCAACTCTTATTCATGAAGGACTATCTTCATATTACTAATTCTGTCCGCAAAAGATTCTACAAATGCTGGAGAATAAAAATATCACCAAACCCATTTATGTGTTGTGTTGTGTTTGAATAATTTATTAACCAATAATTATAGAAGCAAAAAAACATAACAGCTAGTGTTATCTTAGTTTTCTCGGTAACCACTTAATATCATTTTAAGTAATTTACTTTTCATAGAATATCTTTTCCTAATTTGATTTACATACGAGATAAATGGATCGTTGGATTAAAGCTATTACTTTTATCATTTCTATGAAGTAAAGAGTATTTTTCAGAATTTTTTATTCGATATTAAAGTGGATGTTTTGTTCTAATCGTTTTTTTTTTCACAAGGATGGGAGTATTATTGAATTCAATTCAACCATAACCGGTAATCAAGATGTAACTATTTACTCTCCTATCCAAATCTATCCAACACCAATCATTTTGCCATGGTCTCAAGAGCTATTATCGTCTAACTTCACACATTCTAATCCTGGTTATCAACTTCGAGCTAACGGAGGATGTGGACAGTATAGATGGACAGCTTTATCTATCCACGCATTAGAACATTATTCTGATCCAGGCAAATTACCGAACTCTGAATTACTCACTAATACATTTGTGTCTATTACTAAAGCAGGGATTGTATCACCTCTAGTAAGTTTATATAAATGCATTGTGTGATTTGCATGTTACAACTTGTATCATACTTGTACTACATTCTTTTAAAGGTCATTATAAACAAAACTAATTTGTTATTGTATGATCATTTTGTATATTGAGTCCTCCTATTCAATAATTTGCATTACTTTCTATTCTTATTTGAAAGTTCATTCTATTTTAATAGTCAGTGTGAAATAGAGTTTTTGCGTCTCATAATAATATTTTTTTGTTGAAATCACATTTTAGAATTTTGGTGAATCTATCATAGTTGCATCTAGCTCTTCAAATCCTCAACTTTGTGGACATACAGTAGTTTATGTGCGTCCACCTGCTGAAATGAAATTTATATATGAACGCAATGAAGTTCTAATTCCATCTCGTCGTAAGGCAAAGTTTATTAATGAAGAATTAGTGATCGGTTACTCGAATCAGCCATCAAAAGAAGAATGGAGTGTACAAGATCCTTCTGCCTTAGAATCTGATTTGGAACGTTTAGCAATCGGATTAGCTGTTCTTGATTCTGATGGTCAAAGTATGACGGATTGCAGAAATCTAAACATTGAAATTCGTGCAGTTGACTCCAATGTTGTAAAGATTATTCCAGGTAGGTTAGTTCGCTTCTACCATATTAAGACAGTATTTACAGTTCTTTTTTTCAGAATTCACTCAAAATAAATTTTTTTTTAAAATCAACTTTAATTTCTTCAACGTACATCACAATCGTTAACTAAACGATTCACTTTTCAATCTTATACTTTTAATGACATATCATTCAATGATTTATCATATCAGAAATATTAAGGTTTCTTTCATCCAACTTTGTGCTCGACTTTATTTTAAAAAATGAAAAGATAGGAAAATACAACGTAGAATTTGACAGAAATATATATACCAGTTCACACCGTATCTCCTCAACACAATAAAAGTTAGACAATTAAAATTAATGGAGTAAGTAATACGATAGTAATTAAAAGCTGATAATACGAAAGAAAAACCAATAAAGTCATAAAACAAAATGTCCGGAATTGTTTTTTGCACAAAAGTAGATTGGAGTGGGTTTGTAGTATTTATTTTATATTGGGCCCCTACCGTTAGTTTTTGTTACTTCTTGAATAGTATCTTCTAATCCTAACCTCTCCGATTACTTCTAATTCCCTTACTACCTCTTCTACTATTGGATTTGAATTGACGATTACTTCTCTGTGCTGATGTGGTATGGCAACATGAACTGATGTACTTATGTACAAAGTTCTACGTTGCATCTGACTGACTGACTGTTAGTTTTTGTTTACTTTGCAAACTATTTTATCCATGCATACATTCATTTGAAATCCATGCATATTTTTCTATTGATTTTCATCCTATTCCTCATAATAAATCTATTTTATGTAATAATTTATTTTTACTTAATTGAAACTTTAGGCTTTCATGCTCCACGACATAATTCATCCACTGAATATGGATTATTTGATTCTAACGAATGCTTACATTTCTATGTGATCGGAGTTAATGTTGGTTTCACTGAAATTAAAGCAATTTACAATCCATCACCAATTAACAAGTTGGATGATTCCGTTAAAATTGTTTCACGTGTTCATGTTGCGGCCTATCGTAAAATCAGTTTTATTGACCCGGTTTCTGAAATGACTTCTGTTGCAATAGGTTCAACTCGAAATATGCTGGTAAGTACAGAAAATTACTCTATTTGATCAAAAGAATATATTCAGCCAATCACTTAGGCAACTTACTTGATTAATAATGTTAGTTCAGTAAAGAGTGATGGCCTAGTAAGTAATACATTTGACTTTCAACCAGTTGTAGATAGTATATTTGAACTCCAATCCGTTTTCTTTTCCAGTTTATATCAGTGAATAGTGTAGCTAGTTCATATACAAAATAAGTATGGCATAAAGTCATGTACTGTATTCAGTCACCTAATAACCTATTCATCACAGTAAGTATTTTCTTCTTCTATCTTATCGGTGTTCGAGATTAGGTATATTAAGTGTGAATGTTTTCGTCAGAGTCTTCTCTTATCTCCAGCTTCGTAAGTAACGTCTAGATACTTAAAAAAATTAGGTTCACTGATAGTGACCAACTTTGAAATAAATTTCGGAAGTTCTGTTGAAAAATTGTATGACTATATAATAATGGATTATTATTATTATTATTATTATTATCGCACTATATCATGAATTAATTAAATTTCGGAATATAAACGACAGTATTCCAACTCATTGGTTATGACTATTATACTTGTCTGTTAGACTCCACGATGAGAGATGTCCTGTACCCAAAACTAGAAAATTACAATCATAAAATTATCTAAAATAATTGTGGGGTATTTCTAGCAATCAAATTTCTTTATAACAATAATAGAAGTCAATTAAGGCAAAAAAATATTGAAGCATACCGAAAGAAATACACAGTTAAGTATTGTTTTAAGGTGTTTGAAATTCCGAGGATGAAAAGCAAATTCATCTATGCGATTGTTGTCAGTTTTAAATCGCATCACCTACATCTGTAACCTCTGTACATTATGAACATATTCTTTTTACGATGCATGCTTTGAAAATCAAGATTAACTGATATCTGTCATCTAGAATTTATATATATATTATTTATTAAAACGCTTAAACATTGCTACAGACGGTGACCAAAATATGTATGCAGTACACAATAAAAATGAGATTTCAGAGAGAAAAGTTACTACAATAAAAAAGGAACACAAATAAATAGAATTTGGTATCTGAAAGTAATTATAACGTTAATTGGAGAAATAGTTCAATTCAGGAAAATACAACCAAAAAGGATTCTTCCGGTTAAAAATTTCCCCTCTCTTATATGAAGAAACTAAAAAAGGTTATAGCAGGACCACTGTTGCTTCTATTCCTAGCTGTCTAATGACGTATCAAGCTTCTAAGTTGCGCCACCTCTTGGACCTCTAAAGGGGAGTCGTGAAGGACCAACAAGTGAAAGTCCTGTGCAGCTTTCTTTCATACTGCGACTTCATGTCATACACCGGCTACCTCTCCACTTTTCCTACCAGTCCCAGCGTTGTTAAATAATGCGTGATGTGTAATTCCCTAGGATGACATCCTTATTAGGTGAACAAGCCACCGAAGTCTGTGTTTGGAGATGGTGAGCCAATCGAAATATTGATTCCGCGCCCGAACAGACGTTGCTGAGCCTCTGCATTACCAACATGATGTTGCCACTGAATGTCAACAATCCTTCAGATACAACGATTATCCAACACAGAGTCACTTAACATCTTAAACTTGGAGAGGCCAGGTTTCAAAAGTAAAGAACAAAACTGCTCTCATCGACGCCTTGTAGATCCGACCTTTTATAGCCATATCATGAAAACACCAAAGATGGTCTGATTGACATAAGCCGCTCTGTTTGTTACTATACGTGAATTGATCTCACTACACGCCACCACCAGTACTTGCACAGCTACTCAGATACACGAATGTCTTGCCTAGTTCTAGTTACTAACTACCAAGAATGAGTGCAGACATTGTCCTTCCAGTCTTGTGGAAGTGATTCTCACTTAGAAGGTGCAAAACCTATCCATACCTACAGATATTGATTGTCAACTGATTAAGTATGGATTGCATGGTTTTGGAATCTTCGCACAGTAAGACAATATCATTCCCATGCTCAGAGTCTAAACATCTTTCTCCAAGTAACAGATCCACATCACCACCACGCACATCCACATAGCTGCTTCCAGAACGTCGTGGATGTCAAATTTGAAGAGGAACTGTGAGATTGGGCGACCCTGACTAACCCCACCGCTTTGGCGAAATAATGGACAGAGGTAGTTAGCCCCCATCTGCCTGAGGTGCCTGTTTATAGAGCCTTCATGATGCTAATAAACTTCTGGGGCCTACGTTTCTTCAACAGACAATCCGAGAAAACAATCCTATCCAACGAATCAAAGACGGCCCTGATATCAAGAAACAACAATTGTTGGTGTGGTGGTGTTCTAACATTTGATGAAGGGTGAATATATGATTAATACTCCCCGACCAAAACAAAAACCAACCTGCTCCTCACTAATCAATCTTCCTCAGGTTCTGAACAATCTACGAAGTATGACGGGAGCCAATAAGTTGCACACAATCGATAGTAGTAGACTTATCCCCTGATAGTTGTTACATATATAACTTGAACCTTTTTTAAGGTAGAGATAACTATCAACTCACTCCACGATATTGGAACACTTTCCAATTGCCAGTCGGCTGTAAACAGCTCAACCAGTCTCACAGTCAGAAGGTCACCACCATCTTTAAAAAGTAAGTGGAAGTAAGCCATTTGGGCCTGGTGACTTGCATAGCTCCAAGAATCGGAATATCTTACGAACTTCCGCTTCGTTAGGTGAATCAGCTGCCACCAGCCATGGAGGACAGGGTAATCTGGTCGATATAGCAACTTGTGGACATTTATCTCCCTAAATGTTCATTTTAATTTAATTACTTTTGTTCTTTAATGAATCTAGGTTACACATGGACCACAACCATGGTCTTTACAATCATCGGAACACTATGTCAACGTTTTTCCCCGACCTGACTCAGATAACGATATTTCATCACTCCCAACATTGGTTAGTGAACCACAATTTTCTAAAACATTGGTTTACCAAAACACCAATACTGATAATGAAGCTACTCCAGTTCAAAGTTACACTATGGATCCAACTGAAGGTCATGTTCGCCTGATTTCATTTGGTCTTCGTTGTGAAAGTATTGGAATGTTTGAATTTGTGATTGAAATTGGAAATCGTCCCACCCCGACTAACCTACATCCAATGGTTTTGTCATCCAAGTTCACGTAAGCCTTTGTTTTTTTGCTTTACAAGATAACCTATCTACCTACGTTCCGTATACTATTGATGACACAGCTGAGCTCTGGTCCATTGATTTAATCGCTTGATTTGAAATAAGTGAACCATCATTTCGTATGTTAATTCGTTTACGGAGGATACAAGAGTCAGCTGGTTCTATTTACTTTCCTCATAACCTTGCATACATACGCGGACTTTTAAATTAGGTTCTTACGGTAGAATAAACATTAGTTTAATTAAGTCAAGGCATGCACACCTCATAAATGTGAAATAATGGGAAAGAAACGCAATCCATCAGAATAAGATCCTAACTCCATAGAACAAATTAAACACTTGATTTAGTAGATGGAATCATTTTCCTGCTACTACCATGTACGAAAAAGTCTAGACCAGTTGGAATATCACGTATTTAGAGGTGACACAGTTTGCTACCAAAGTATGTACACATAATCTTCAGATTTCCATTTGAAAAACAAACAGATTATTGAATGTCTTCAAACTACACTGGTTATGCCAAGCCTTTTGATCGCCTGATACTCTTTTCCCTAGTAACTTCTAGGTGGCGCTACGGTATATACTACTTACATGCCACTTTGAGAGTAGCTTCCAACACAACCATCTAGATGTTTCAAGAAGTTACCTCTTCAACTTGTTTTAACCGATCAGTTATGCCAAGAAACAATCGATTATGTCTACTTACCAGGAGACAAGCTTATTGACTTGGAATATGTCGACGAAAGAGTTCTATTTGGTGAAGACACTGACAAAATGCAGAGTCTCCCAACTACCCTAAGCAACAATGCAAGCATATTCGGGATGCAATTTTACTCAAATGGCAAATTAACATAAGTCGTCCGACTCTTTATGAAGTTGAGAAAGCTATAGGAAATCTGAAGCAAGGGAGAACAACCATGTGGTGATACTACACAATCATCATACAAATCATTCGACCAAAATTGATGATTTGTGATTACACTACATTTACGACACATTTTTTAAACTTATTAAGAATTGAAGATAGCCTTGAAGTGATCAGCAGTTGAAAGTTAGCCGTTCGAGAATCGGCATTAGATTAACGTTCATGCTTTTCAATGAATGTTGCCAGCCACTGTGACATCGCTAATTGTACTCATTTGTTTATTTTACATGCGTGCCTGAATAGGCATGCAGTTAGTTGAAAAAAACTGAAGAGATAATTTGTTAAAATATTATGTTGGTAGTGAACTGATAACCTATATATCCAAACAACCACCAGATGGTGTCTCAAGGAGCTGTTCTTTCCCTCCTTTTTCGTTCCTATTCTATCCTGAATGACCTACTATCTTCAGAAAAACTTTTCGAGGTCACTATGAATATGGTGATGAAGGAACACCAAAAAACTTGCAAACCACTGACAAGTTTTATCTTACAAGATATCAACCATTCACATCTTTCTCTTTGTATATCTTCTGGTAGAACCAGATTCCGACACATAACAATCCGTGCACACAAGAAAAGGTAAAAAAGTTCTACAATACCTTATAAAATATGCTATGCGACGAACAGATGGTGATAGCTGATCTAGTCAAAAACTTTTATTTTAAGCATGTGACTCACTCAAATTTGAATAGATTACCACCTTATTGAAAAACACTTAAACTCCAGATAGTTTATTTGCTCATTTTGTGTATATATGTTTACAGTTATCCATTTTTTTGCAATAGAATCTTGTTGAAATACCTCATGGTTGGATTTCCGCGTTGTAACAAACATACTGTTATTGTAGGCCTTAGTAGTAGTAATTCCTATATATTGTTTCATAAACAATCTTCCCTACTTTTCAGTAATAAGTAGTATATCTTGATTTGTTAAATTTGTCAAAATCTCGCCAGAAAAGAGTAGTCATTGTGTTGAAGATAACAAGAATACATCTGAGCAGAATAGCATGAATTTAGCTTCTTTTTTTATTCAGTCCTCATCTGCCCAATGCTTGGTGAGCGGGACGTTTTGCAAAACCGTATGCGACTTTATTTGCCATTTTCGTGGCATCTTGCAATCGCAATCAACGCTCATCTATACTTTGCGGTGGGTCGTTTGTTAACTTTAAATTTAGCTCGGCTTGATATTTAATCGCAATAGAAGCTACAACCAATTTTTAGCGACATATCTGCACACAACCGAGCCAACGATAGCTGTTCGCTATGTAATCAGAGTCCATGTTATTACATTTTTTATCACAAGCAGAAAATGTGAATTACATCAATGATCTATTCTTTTTGAGCAGTTTACCATAAAGTGAACGAGTAAATAGGTTGTATAATTACACTGATCATTTAATAAATTTAAATTTTATGTTTGATTAGCTGATTGTTTATATATTCAAATAACCGTTCTTTCTAGTTTAATTAAATATCCCTTCAATATCTAATTCAATCGATAAGCGATCGATAAGTATATTTTCTTAATTTACATTTGGCCTATTATATATCTGACTAATTCAGTCTAGTATATCCATCATTGATCGGCAGTTATCATCATTAATTCCATATTATAGCTATAAAATAAATGACCATTATAATTTTTATAACTTTTTTTTAATGAACTCATTTCATTTCAGTTGTAATAAATTTCTTTTTCTTTTTTTCCTTCTTTTACCAGAATAATGTGTGATGTCGCTGTTAGTTTAAAAATGCTACCTGTTTTCCAGTTTCCTTCGCTACCTTCACATTTCCCATCTTGTCCACTAGTTAACATATCTTCTAATGACTGGTCTCATGATAAGGTATACTATGAATATGATTTATTGTTCTTATTATATATTTGTTGTTTCTACTTGTAGTGTATATACGAACAGGTGTGTATAGATCGGAATTATTTTTTTCAAAGCAGTTTTGTAAATTAAAATTGATGTGACTTACGAGTACAAATGTTAATGGCATTGATATTACTGTAGCGAGTACATATTAGTTTGTAGTGTAGATTAAGGGATCAGTTTGTTGTATGAACCAGTCATTCGATGTGGCTTACAGTTATTTCCAAGATTAGATATTCACCTAATTAATAAGTGCCAACTAGCATGAAACGTGGGACGCAGAACTTCTTGTTGATTACCTCCAAACACTCTAAACATCAAACAAACCACAGTAGTGTAGAATCACTTAGGCAAGTGATTATCACTCAATTTGATTATTAATATTTGATCAGTATTGATTATTAGATTAACATAACATCATTTACTTTTCAATAATCAATTGGCATATGCGTTTTATGTGTTTTGCTTGTTGTCAGCAAAGTATCTAGAGGTAAAAAAAGAAGAACTAAATGTCATAAAACAACAATCATAAATTAATAATTCCTATTTTGTTTAATGCATCTAAATTTTCTTTTTCTTTTATTTTCATCAATCAATCATTAGTTAATTTTACCGAATACAATTCCAACTGCTGTTCGTTTAATTTTCTATGGATCAGAAAGTCAAGAATTAGAATCAGTTGACTCCTTGATATCTAATGTAGTTATTTCTTCGATTAATGACGATATTGGAATTGCACAACCATTACAACTAGTTCAAAATGTAAACCCTCCTGTACATATGGATTACTTAGATTCGTAAGTTCTACAACAATTCTTTCTTATTATATATAATACACCTGGATACAAACAGAAGAGCTAGAATATAGAAAGTTTCATTAATATCTTTGTTAGTAAAGATATGCATCGGTTCAGCCAATAAGTAACTCTCTTAATCAATTTGACTTCTAGGGTTGGTTACCGGTCACTGAAGAATAAACGTCATTAAACTATGTCGCTTTAATTTTTACATTCTATACGCAAAATATTGTAAACACCGTCTCAGTCTATTTTTTCACTGTCTTGCTCTTGTTTTCTTTTCAGCGATAAGCGATCTCTTAATCCTATAAATTCGCGGCCTTATTTTTTCATTACACCAGCCAAATTTGGTCATTCTTCTGGCAGTCTCGTGGTTCATGTCACAGTTCAATCAAGTTTACCTAACACATATGTTCCATTTTTACACGGTATTGAAAATTTAAAATCAACTTTAAATATATATTTAAGTCCAGTGATAAACGTGACTCCCAGTCAATTAATTAAATTATTTTATCATCCAGAGGTAATTTACGGTTGTTGTTGTTGTTGTTGTTATTGTTTTCGTTATTATTATTTTCTATGTAGTTCTTTTCCCAAATGAATTTACTAAATTATATGAATTTTACAACTATACAATTCGATCCTTTTCATTTGACATTTACATATGTGTGTATATTGTTTTTCATTTCAGGCTTCATCTACTGTGTATATTCATGGTGGATCTGGTCATTACTATTTGGACAATTCAGGTGATTTAATTGACCGACATCACTATCCAATTCGTATAACGGAAAAATTAAATGACCCAACTATAACAACTAATACTATTCTGTATAACATGCCAAGACGGACTTATGAAATACAACCACAGCATATTGGTCATGTAACAATTCAAGCAATTGATTTATGCTTTCCATTCTTGCTAACAAAATCAAATCAATTAAATGAGCATAGTTTTAGTCCAGCACAAGTTGAATTTAATGTGGATGTAATTGGTCTTAGTGCATTAAATCTTCGTGTACATGATCGAATACAACTTGGTGATGAGGTTGGTCTAATTCTATGTTTTGTTTATTGAATATTTATTTCCACTTCTATGGAATTCAGCTAAACATTTGTATAAAGTTAAATAATAAACCAAATTAAGTAATATTTCCCTACAGTGTTCATTTATTCATCGAGGTACTTTAAAAAATAACTATTTCTTAATTGTAATAGCCTTTTTTATTTTAATAGTAAATTAACTAAGAACAGTATGAGTCACATTGTAAGCATTAAGGGTCAATGATACTACCCAGTTGCCCAATGCGAAGTAGGTAGAGTGTTGTTCAAACCAAACACGTAGTGCCTAAACGTCAAATGCCTTAACCACTCTAAACCACCGTCTAACTAAGTGGTCTATACAGTCAACTTGTATAATGTGACGTCGTGTTTCAATCTATTTGATATATATATATACGCTTTGATCCCATGATTTCGAACTTTAACTTCAGTGACAATGAATGAGGTGGCTTCCCTCTCCGGCAACTAGTGGTAAGTCCACCTATCAGAAGGAAGATTACTTAGCGTAACAACCCTCACAGATAGATATTTATTCACGACACCCTTGGGAATAATGTTACAGAGTAATAGTACACCGAAACATAAGTTAACCAATAGATTAAGTGTACTTTTAGGCGGAAGTTTTACAATTCGTGGTGAACACTCTCCTCAACATCGATAAACTTGATTCGGTCTGTGCAATAAAGCAAGTACATTAGCTAACACGTAATTTCATCATTTTTAGTAAATCGACCAATACTAACCCTAAAAGTGATGAACAGTTAAATTACGTCTTAAAAATAATTCGAAAAAATAACCGATTTCTTATTATTATTTATCCATTCCAGGTTACTGCTTTTATAGAAGCCATAGGTACAGATGGAATCACATTACCGTCAAAGTTTACACGCTTATTAAAGTTGTCAATAATCAGTAATCATGTCGCTCATTCCACACCTGCTGGTCATAAGGAATCATCACATGACTCCAAAAGAATACTTAGCGTACCGGAAACCAATGTCCCTTCAGACTCATTCTGGATTTGTGACTCATCAAATGCTGAACAACTTTGTTCAGGTCAATTCACTGTTCGGGGCATTGCTCTTGGTACTTCTAGACTAATGGTAACTTCCATAGTACCTGGGTTATTGCAAAATAAACCAATTACTGTTCAAAGTAACATTGTTGAAATTCAGGTAAGCTTAGCCGTATGTCACTTTTTTCAATTCTGTGTAAAAACTAAATACTTATTATGTTCTCTGTTTTGTTTGTTTTTTTCATCCTAGGTATTCGCACCTTTACGTTTGACTCCATGTAATTTCAATCTCCTACTAGGAGCTGAATATGAGATTCAGGCAGTTGGTGGTCCTAATCAAGCTTCTTTGGAATTTATTCCTGAATCTGTCTCAAGTCGTCTAACCATTATAAAAACAAATCCCTCCAGTGTCTTGATACGTGCATCTGAATCCTTAGGTCTGGCAAATATTCGTGCCCGTGCAGTAGGTATAAGAGGGAATAGACTTTCTTCAAGTTTAGATGAAAAGCATGAAGATTATGTCATCTATTCAGAGGTATGTTATGCTTTGAATTGGTAAAATCATTCACAAGGTTATAACCTACTGAGTTTCTTACTAAAAATTACAAAAATTTTCTTTTCCAGACAGTTTGCAACATCCATATTGTGGCGTTATCGGGTGTGCGAATTAAGTGCCCACTTGCTAATTTGGATGAAGTTACTTCCCAAATCTCTGATACTTCTAATGCTCATTTCCCAGAATTATCTAATTCAGATAGATCTAATCAACATTTTCTCCTTGCATGTCCACCTGGACGCTCTGGGGATTGCGGTTCAGCACCTCTATGGGTTGAAGGTACAGCATACAGTCCCCACTATTCTGAAGACCAATCAAGATCAAATATTGTTTCTCCTCTGGGAATGGCTGCCGTCAATCCTCCACTAAGATATCGTTGGCATCTGAACCCACCTGAACCTAACTCTGTTGTTCGTCTCGAATATTGGCTTGAACAATTCGGTGTTAATGTGGATGAAGTAAGTATTATATTATGACAATAATTAAATAATATGCTGTTTTTTTTAATTCAAAAAGAAATACCTGTAATTACATCATCTTAATATAAAATTCAATTGTTGTATAACAGTTGGTTGTAGTTTAATTATCACTGTCACTTGATGATAATTTGAGTAACAATCTAAAACTGTGTAGTATAGAATTATTCTCAAATAATCTTTGCCTACAATGTAGCTGAATAATTAGTTCTAAATACACGATCCCCATTACTTACCTAGTTCTAATACATTCTGATATTCCATTTCATAGCAGTAAAGTCACCGATCTATAGCCATCTACATTTTCCAACTTACATTCACCTATTTGATAGATATTTTTGTTGTTTTCCTCAAATTTATTGTCTACCATATCTTTTTTTCACTGCTCAGACTCATTTAGCATCAGGAATGGTTCTTGTTGGTTTAAAACCTGGTACTGTAACTGTTCATTTGACTGTAGAACCTGTGGAACCTAATGCGAAACAAATAATTGCTGTGTCAACTGATGGTGCGTCAATTGACCGTTTACATGCTCAACTAACGATTGTTGTTTTATCACGGCTTGGATTAAGTTCACCACATCGAGAAACTCAACTAATCATTCTATCGCCGAATTCCCAATTAAATTTAATTCCTTGGGCTGATTTGTAAGTCTTTTTGTGAAGATATATGTGTTACTCTCTGTATCTAATCCTAAATAGGAACATAATAAATAACGCACCTTGATAACTCCGCTTGAATCCATGTTCTGCTACCTGAACTACTTTCATAGCTCATAAATACAAAAAAAAAGATGACTGTCTAGAAATTACTCCTATGATTGTGTTGGCAACCTTTCCTTTGACAATGATAGATGTCATCATCAGTCGGTTCGCTGCAAGTTAAGTGCTATTATTTTTATATCTTTTGTAAGTGTGTTTGTTAATGTAGTTATTTGGGTGCATAAACACCGTTAAGTTCTAGATTAACTCCATCCAAAATATTTTGATGTCACAAAGTCTGTAACACATAGATAATCTTTTTTCTCAAAAATTATTTGTATTCCGAATGTAGCTTATGTAAAGAATTAATGTTTTATGTTCTTTGTAAGTTACAAAATTCCTTCGGTACAGTAGAGCACCTTGATGTATGTTACTCAAAACGAATAAGCAATATGCTAGGAAACGAGAAAATAAAACCCCATTATACAATCATAAATAAGAAATATTTAAGAGTATAGTTCACTCCAGAACACAATCTAGAATTTGTTGAGCATAGAGGTGTATCCTACTATTCATAAAAATGCGGTCAAAAACTGCCATATAATCCCTACTTATTTTTTATTCTGAACTATATGTGATCATGCTGTAAACAACCGGATTGGTTAGACCTGTGAACCACATCCATTGGGTCCTAATGAATCAAAGTATCAATCAGTCAGTCAGTTACAACGTAGAACTTCGTACATGAGTACACAAGTTGAGGTTGTTGTACCGCATCTTCACAGAAACGCAACTAAATCAGAATATACTAACCCGAATTCCAGTTATTATTTTTTCTACTGCATCATTTCATCAACTAATCTTGCTACTTTTCTTACTTTAGTCAACAAGTAATACGATTTATGGTACTCTATTGAACAATGTAGGAAAACATGTACACCACTAAGGCCTCATTTTTGGTCGTAACACATGTAGGGTTATGGTTTCCATTGAACCTAAACCCACATTACCACACCACTTCACCTAATTTGTCTTGGACAACCGGATCACATTATTAGTTTTTATACAGGGAGCTATGTAAAATTTTACTTAATCTTACTGAGTTATCAATTATTTTAACTGTTACGTACAGTAATTAGCGAGCACAATACACATTTGGTATTGTAACGCTTTCCTAGTGCTACTTATCTATCCCCTTCCCAAGCTTAATTACGTAATTAATATAACTACTTGTATTTTTCTATTTTTTTTTCTAGACATTCTGATAGCATTTTACGCTACGAGATTTTATCTGTTCCACGTGATAGGAATTTATCCTCTAAACATGCTAGTCAACTGTTAACTGTCACTCCAGATGGTATTCTACATGCAAATGACAAATGTTCAGATAGTGAATCAGTTTGTCGAATTACACTTCAAATTCAATCAATGCCTAATGGAAATTTACTGGATTCCAAGTTTACACATAATTTCGATCATTCACTTATTCAGACACTAATCTTGGATATATTTATTAAAGTACCACGCTTTATGATGTTCTCTGTACCATCTGTTACCATTCCACAAAATGAAAGATCGTCAAAAATAGTTGGTCTTCCTGTTGGTGGTCCATATAACATGAAAATCTCGTATCATGATGAGTTAGGGCGTATATTCGATGCAGTTTCAAGTAAGTTCTATTTTTTTCTAAATTGATTTCTTGTCAAATTTATCAAAATCTATTTTATGTTTGTTCGTGAATGGAAGAATTAAGTTTAGTGAATCTTAGTTATCAGTTACTGAATTTCTGTATTTTTTAGTTTTAAACAATGGTATTAATGTATGCGTTTCATTCGTCGACCAACTCATATTAAGTCGTATTGATTCTGAGATTCAATGCTGGTTGCAAAACACGTTAGTCAGTTCCTGACCAATGATTTTTTACATAGGTTAACTACGAGAGAGCGGGTAATATTCAACCTTTCTATGCTCGTTGAATTAGTGGATTAAGTTAGCACTAGTTGACCGATGAGTAGTTATTAATATCTTATTTGTCTAAACCTTAGTGTTGATCGCATTCTAACGTTCAAGTTGTGATGTCGACACTAATCTGAGTAATCCAGTATGAGTGAGACTGCGCAAAACCCTTAGATTGATCAGAAGCCGGCTTAGTAGTCCAGAGGTTAAGAGTTCTCGCGCAAGACCAGAGGTCCTGGGTTCGGATCCTGTGAGTAGCAGGAATCGTGGATGTGCAGTACCACTAATGAGTCCCATCAGTCAGTTACAGCGTAGAACTCCGTACATGAGTATATAAGTTCATGTGCCATACTGCTTCAGCACAGAGACGCAACTGTCAGTTCAAATCTCATAGTAGTAGCGATAGTAGAAGTATTATCAATAAAATGGAGAAGATTAGGGTTTGAAGACATGATTCGAGAAGAATAATTCAGTGAGATAACTTTAGAAAGAGAAAGATAGAGATGATTAGGAATTTAGAAGGTTTGAATTCGAGAGAACACAATGAATGAATGCACGTGCGCCATTGGAAACAATTCTGAGCCATGTCGTTCAAGGTCTCTAACCATCGTTTACTTTCGTCTCTCGGATCCCAACTTCTAAAGTCCTAGCTATGGAAGCGTATTGTCCTATTTAACTCAAGGTTCGAACATTAAATGCTCCAACATGTAATTTAGTACGGTGTTTCAGAAGACCAGGAATAACGTTTCGTGAACTCGTATCGTTAGCATTAGCTGTACGGGGTGATAAAAGGATGTGAGTAGAGTTAGTCGTAGAGATAAGAGAGATATTAGGGGGTGTAGGAAGGATTTGGTCTGGCGTGCTGTGTAAATTAATACACAACAATCTGAACAAGTTGTTATATTATTTAATTAGATGTATTCATCAATGGCTAATTGTTTAACATCTCAAATAAATAGGATTTATATGCGTTAATAGGTTTATAATTTTGTTAAATATTTATTTTTCAGATGATTTCTATCAATTGAAAGCATCATTGCATCGATCAGATTTATTTTCTACTCATTTTATACGAGATCTGGTAATTGAAGAACAACATTTTCCTGTCAATCATATCAATGCAGACAATGCAATTCATCGTACTCCATACGGTTTCAGTATACATTCGTTGCCAATTCCTAAGTCAACTAATCAAATTGAATTGATACAAAATGAGAGAAAATCTTATTGGACAGCTTTACATATTGGTTTATCGAATAAAATTACTAGATTATTACCAAGTTATTTAAGTCTACCATATAGTAATTCATTAGATCTTCTTGGTTTAACATCTTTAGTCGAAGGACAATGGACATGTCTACCAAAATTGTCATCATCCACATCTAATTTAGGTAAATTATTTGTCCAATATGTTAGAAATGCTGGGTTTTTCTTTCTTTCTGGAACTATTTTTCTTATCATGTGCATATCATACAAGAAAATATTTGTGATAAGAATCATTTACTTATCAATAGTTTCAATATATAGAATTATAATTTCAAACTAATGTGTATTATCTCATGTACAAGGTTGAAAGTAGTAATACTAATGCCTGTCTCTTTTTAGTCATTGTAGTTGTAGACCTACACCTACTAGTCTGTTTGTATTACCTGAAACTTGACACTTAAACTGAAATATAAAATGACCTGTGTATAGAATCATTGTGTTTTCTGTTAATACACCTTATCCAGCTCTAAAACGTGTCTAGTTTTAACTAATTCACTATTTTGAATAACTGACTATCACTGGATACCTTTTAATAGGGTGTGTTAGATTCGAAATAGGGCTCAGCACTTTAACGGCATGCGATTCAACTCCAGTTTGGACGAATGATCGAGTATACAATGAAATAAATCTTCCCTGTTTGTGCGACGGCAGAAGCCGAATATGGTTTTTTGGATGAATTTATTTCATACATTCATGTAAGTAGACAGACGAGAATGAAAAGCGTACAAGCAAAGCGAAGCGAATCAGAGAAGGTGAATGAGCCAACTCTATTATTTAAACAACTAATCATTAAAGCTAATGTATATGAGGTGCTATAACCTATTATTGTTTACCTGTTAGATAGATATAACCTCAAATGTGTTTATCACACAGTTTAATTCAGTCCCTGAATAGCCGTATAATATTTTTCTTTATGCTTAAAGTTGTTAGTTCTCAGCCAGTCAGTCAGATGCAACGTAGAACTTCGTACGTAAGTAAAGCAGTTCAAGTTGCCATAACAAATTAGCACAGAGAGACCGAATTTTCAATTCAAATCCCATAGTAGTAGAGGTAGTAAAAGTATTAGAAGTAATCGGAGAGATTAGGATTAGAAGATATTATTCAAGAAGTATGATTCAGTGAGAAAAGTTTAGAAAGTCAAAACTAGAGGTGTTGAAGAACCCAGAAGATTAGGATTTGAGAGAACACAAACAATAAATGCACCGGCGCCATCGCAAACGCTTTTGAGCCATGTCGTTCAAGGTCTTCAACCATCGATTATTATCATCTCGCGGACCCCAACCAGGTAGTCTACATCTACCGACATGGCTAAGTCCACTCGTCAATGACTTCATGGATTTGTGCCATGTTTTGGTTCGGCCGCCCCTAGCTTTCTTCCAACCTATTCCTACACTACAAATTGTTAGTTCTACTCATGGACTAATGATTTTCCACCATACGATTTGATAGATAACGCTCAAAATTCATTTTTCTATTTTTTCAAGTTTAATATGATTATATCATTGGCATTTTTATTTTGTGTATTCTCTTTTTTTCAAAAAAAAATTTATATTCAGAAAATACTTGGTCTTCAGTTGATCCATCAATCATATGGATTGATTCATTCAATCAAATCATTTTAGCACGTCAATCTGGTCATGGAGTATTGACATTTTCTTTAACATCTTCAATAAAAAATTATCAACAAAGTAAACCATTAAAAAATACCACATATTCCAATATAAAAAGTGAATCACTTACTTATTTACTCAACATTCAAGTCATACCACTTGAATTATATACATTATTAAATACACCGTCTGTAAGTTTAATATTTATTGATTCTGGAAATAATCTATTACAAAGTGATTCTATCATATTTCCTATTGGAGTTGATCGTCCATCACGAAGTGAATCATTTTTATCAATGTTACGTTTCCTTGTTCAACTACCTATTAAAGAAAGGTTTGTCTATTTGATCAAGTTATTTTATTAAACGTTTAATGTTTTATTGTCTCTGTCTCTCCCTCTCTTTATCATGAATTTAAAATCATTTAAATTATCAATGGCATTACAATTAAATTGAATTTTAATTTGATTCATTTTATTTGAACAAATTGTATTTGATTATTTCAATAAAAACAAATAATTGACTCAATCTGTCAACTACGTTATATCTAGTATAATTGATAATTTGATAATCACTATATCACTGATCATTAAAGCTGAATACAAATAATCGAAGAATTGAGGATTATGTGAATGCAATTGACTGTTATATTAGTTATTTCATAATCCTAGCCAATCAATATTAACATGTAATTGAGATGTATCTTTAAAAATATGTCGTTGTTTGAATACGGTCATTCAGTTTAATTGGAATAAATTATTCAATGATCTGAATAAATGATTTTTCTTCCCAATAACCACCTGCACATTCACACACACAATTTTTACTGAACATACAATTGGATTGGCTTAATGACAATAAATCAGATTAAATTACATGAATAATTGTTCTCTATTCACTTAATTGTCTCCAGGATATCAGTGAACTAATGTATTTATCACTTGATATATATATATGATTTTCAGGGTCTTTCGATAACTTTTTATGTAGTATATACATAGACTACTCTCGTTATTACTGTCCTTAAAAGTTCAAATGCTCTAGTATGGCCGAGAGTGTGGGGAGTTTGCTCGCCTCGAAATGCTCTCTTTTGGCCATGAGTATAAAGCCACTGACATGGAAGTCCTACTCGTTGCTTTCTTGTGGTGAGGGTGTTCATGAAATTAAGAGGGCGAAAAGCGAATGTCCAGCGCTTTAACCGGGTTGATAGGCATGTAGTTGAAAAATCCTGATTCCAGAACATTGGTGCACGCGAGCTCCAGGATCCTGACAGAAGGAATGGCGTCATGGAACTGCATATTCTCACCTTGCTCCACTGCCTTGTGGATTAGATTTTTGGGTCAAAGGCTCAAGGTGTTAAATTTTATTAGATAAGCTTATTTAAATATTAACATTTATCTCAACCATTTTAATTAACGTAGAATAGAACACAAGCGTTTAAAAGTTTAAGTTTTTTCACTTCAAATCTCTACACAGATGATAATAACCAAAATCTATAACATAAAATGAAATTGAAATATTAACAATAGAAACAAATAAGTTAATGAAATAATTGTAAAACTCAAAATCTAATGAAAGATAAAGTGATGAATAGTGTATTTATACGTCATTGCGAACTATTTCGAGCTTTGTCCCTGAACAATTTTAACTAATGATAATAATTGTCGTAACCGACTCACATCTTTTAACTATGTCTTATTGTATATTGTTCTGACATTTATGAACTGTACGGTGAAAAAAATATCCCTTTTAAGATATATTCAATTTGTACTGCATAACAATAGAGTCAGGATCTTACTAGTCAAAGGTTTCCATTTACAATCAATAATTTTCAGGTTCAAATGCTACTTTGATTAGAATAGTCTATTAATTATAACTAGCTCTACCACAAACAATCAAGCTAAGTGAATAAATTTTGTTGCTTAAATATATCATGTTTTCTTAATATTCAAGCCTAAAACACACACATCTATATTGTAACTACTAGACGCTTTTCAAACCTATAAATTTCATAATTATTCCAAACATGAACCTCATTACACTACTTTTTGATGTTCTTTTTACAGCAATAATATCCCATGCTCTAAAACACCTGGATCATTAATGACATTTGCAAATTTCGCTCCATTCAAATGTCAAATTCAACTACAATTAGACAATGAATTCCACATTGATTTTAATTATCGTTCAAGTCTTTTACCGAATTGGTTCTCAAATTTACTTCTTTGGGAGTATAATGAAACTATTGAAACAATTCTTGAATTAGATTCTGCTAAATTTTCATTACAACGCTCTATTACAACTCAATTAGAACCTTTGCCACAATCATCACCATTCTATACCAGTGCTACACAATGGCAATGTGTTATTAAATCACCTACAACATGGTCATTAAATGTTGATGCTATTGCTTTGACATTATTGCCTAAAACACGAATGATTTTACAATTGATTAAAACTCATTCATCCGGCGGTCCCAGTGATGAACATGGTGAAAATGCATCATTAATTGCTGAAACATCGTTACTTCCATTGCCAGGTATTAAAATGCTTATACCTCCTGCTGTTAAACTACAAGAAGATAGTCCTATGTCCTCTGTATCGAAATATTGTAAGTAATTTTTTTTTCAATATCTCAAAATTAAATTGTACTGTGTATAATTTGATCAGGTATTCCCTAATGTCTAAAGTGTTTTTTGCTCCTTGATTCAGTATTAAACAATACAGAATTAAGCACAAATGTGTCTTCATATTCAAGGTTCGTAATGAAATGCGATAAATTGGAATGAGCAGTAGAGAAGAGAAAATAATAACAAATATCTATTTCAGTAGAAAGCTAAACACAATGGTTTTAGTTTAAAGGCAACCAATGATATGAAAGAATGAAAATATGTTAAATAACCGTAAACATTAGATTTACAAACAGATAAATAACGGCACACAATCACATAACCATATAATCAATTTTGTGTCAGTTTATCCAAGGTCTCCAACAATTATCATACAAATGCAACAAACAATAGCTCTTCACCTCATTACATGGTTCACAGTTTGAGTTATTATCTCCATAAGCTAATATTGTTTATAATGCATTTAGCATTCTGTCACCGTACTATTATTACTTTAGCCAATTTATAATATCATCCATTGAGATTGATCTAATGTGAATCTTGTGTGTTTTTTTTGACAAAGTCTATTATCATGTAATCATGTATATGACTTAATCATCTGTAATAAGATCCAATAAAACTGAAATGCACAAACTAATTCATCATTTATATTTCTATAAAATATGATTTTTTTTTTCTTTGCTTGTATTTTCTATTGTTACATGTTTCGTTTGAATGATATCATTCATTCTATTTAAGTTTGCGTATTAAACATTTTATCATATATACTAAATACGAACCAACAAATGAAGATATGATAAGTGATATGAAGTTAATTTTAGTTAAGCTTAAACCTTAATTTTCGTTATTATGTTGTATTTAGGTACAGTCTACAAATGTCTGAATAAATCATTACCAATAACATGTTACATGCGAACCCATCAAAAGGTTTTCCTAGAATAGACTAACGGACCTATGGAACCTAGAGAACCTATATAGCATGTACTTATCTTTCACACATTCAGCATTAACATTGTTCAATACATAACTTTTCAGTTTGGCAAGATGGTCAGCTTTTGTTAAAATAAATACTGATATCATCCTGTATGATTTTTTTAACATGAGACTCTTCGATGTGATGTATTTGTTAATTGCGCCAAAATGACACTGATAAAGTTTTATTACCCTCTTGGAATTTAATAGTCATGAAGAAGTCATTTGTATTGGATAATATTCGTCCGTTTCTTTGAAAATCTGTCATTTTATATCTCCGTAGTTTGTTTTTGTCGGAAATTTTTTGTTAACCAAAAACCATTTCTGTTTAGTACCTACCAATATTATTATATCTGTAAAGTTTGTTTCCTTTTGTTTCTATCTTATTTTAGCTTATCACTTTTGGATTACTGAAACGGATCATTTTACTAGACGACTATTGATTTTCATTCCACCAGCTACATCATTTGCATTGAATATGCAAGAACTAGGACCAGATAAAATATTAGTTCGATCACAAGTCCCTGAGGCTTTAGAAATTGTTGAATCACCACGACCTGTTCAAAATTTGCGTGAAGTTATAGATATATACAAAGAATATAGTCAAAGTTTTTCGTCTTCACTAGTTTCCACTACATTAGCATCATATCCTAGTAGTGTGACCGCGGAATTATCTCGTTGGCTTCATGTAGTTCATGAACAAATTGATAAGATTGAAGATGATGTTATATCGGATTTAAATCCATCCATATTGAAATACAAAGTTTTATGGCTAGTACAAGTGAAATGTATCCCTGGTGATGCTCGTAAGTTGTTTTTTCTCGGTCTTTTTTTTGTTTCAAAGTTACCTTCTCTCAATTTATTCACTTTTAAATAGATTGTTATTTTCATTTTTGAATATCATTAATTCAATTTAGAGAGTTTATCCTTTAAGTAATCGCTTAAGAATTATATCACAGCACATGACATAAGCAAATACTACTAATTAACGAATAGACAAATGTGTTTAGAATTTTATAAAATTCTGGGCAAATAACATACACAGCAGTAACAAGCGCTATTACAAATGATAAAAGGGATTGAAACACAGTAAATCTTAATATGTTTAGGCATTATGGTAATGATCATTCGTGTTGCGTTGTAAGTTCAAAAATGTCTGCCAATAATACAAATTACTGAATGTAATTAAGTAGTATAATTAATATTCAAAAAAGAATAAACGAGGAAGAGACTGAACGATGAACTGCTATTGAAAATCTTATTATTATAGAAAGGAAGATACTACTAAAATACATTGTACATTCGCTTATATAAATATGAATAAATCTCTTACACATGAACATTTCGCATAACTGTTTAGCAGTTAAAAAGACACTCGATTTTTATCCATTCAATTGTCCAACTTCTAATTCTCATTCCACTTACTCCTACTCCATCATTAACCTTCACGTACTTAGAAAATAAAGTGAAAAACTAATTGCTTAACATTGTACTTGATAAATGAACTATCTTTTTTGTTTACTTATTGAACCTTTTTCATCTTGTTATCCATATTGTTTCCACGCTTTTTTTTCGCGATCAAAAAGCCATTGATGCTGTAGTGAATCTGGTGTTAAGTCTACGTCCAACAGGTCAACACATTGAAATCCCTGTACGAATTAGTATTCCATCGTCAAATCAATTAAATGGTAAAGAGATATCCAGTACACCATCATCGTTTTATTTATTAAATTTCTCTTGGATTCATCTATTTGCACTAATTATCATCACTTTGTTTATTGCTATCATTAGTAAGTTGTTGTTTTTTTAATTTTGATAAATATTTGTTTTTGTTACACTAGTATCCTTGTTGTATGTTCATATTCACACAGAAATCTCTAAATGATAATGTAATCATTAATAGAAAGTGTAAAAAGCAACTATCCACTTGACACAAAAGTGGTGAATTTACAAACGCTCAGGTGTAATGACTACTTTTAAAAAAATATATTTCATTTATATTAAACGACTAAGAATTTAAACTGATGAAATACTGAAGTTATTTCTTTCAGATTTAAATCAATTTTTGCTAACCAAATTTTATAAAAGAGTTGATAATTGAAATTGAAAAAAAAGGCACTTATTTCTTTTCTCTCTCAATATTTCCTTTTGTTGTTAATTATTTGCAGCGTTAATAGTAATAATTTGTTATCAATTAGTTAATTGTCAATGATAATGAATCCGTTTAATATAATCAATTCAATTATAAACATATAAAAGTTATTTTGTAAACTATAACGATATTGTAGGATTAATTAAATGAATAGTTTTGAATTGTAGTATAATTTCGATACAGCTTTATGCTTTTCATATACTTGAGAATATATATATATATAGAGTTCAATGTCTAGTACACAAACCTATAATTACTCCGATTTAATTAGCTAAGTACGTACTTAGAGTGTTAAATCATCTTTGTTTCAACCATATACACTTTATTCTATAAACTTGTGTCTTTTGACAATGATTTTCAATTGTTTGTGACCTGTCTGTCTTCTTCTTTTCCATATTACAGTACATATTATATCACGCAGTGAAACATTAATAAGTTCTTCGAATAATTCAAATATTGGAAAATATTCACCTAGTCCCCTACCGCCATTTCCCAAAGGAGGACTTAGTCGATCACCTCCTGGTCGACAATTGTGGAGTCAAAATTTTATTCCTGCTGGAAGTCCTAATACAATACGTCAGCCATTTTTAACATTTGACGGTCTACGCTCTTCGAATATTTCATCATCTCCGATTAATGCACAAAATCTTTCAGCTAACATTTCATATAACAATAATCAACGTATTTCTCCCAGATTCAATCATGGTACAAGCAGTGATCTAATCAATGATGAAAGAAGATGGCGTCAAGCGCTTAGTGGTGGAACCAATCGCTTGAGAGATAGTTTTGAAGAATAAATTATTTTTCTGTACACTTTTATTTATTGTATTGTATTGTGTTATAAAGATTTTGTTTCACTTATAATATTCCTGTCAAATATTCCACTTGTACTAAATATTTTTTGTAAACAAGTATCTTTATTGTCGGTAATATATCTGTTGTTACTGAATATTCCAATTTCTGCGAAGTTGTTGATAATAGCATTTATCTATAGATCGTTCCTAAACTGACTACACTACACTTTACGCTAATGTTTCTAGGCTTTTTTTTCCTCTATTTTGATGTTATATTTGTAAAAACAAGCTGATAAAAAATCACATCATCTGTCTTCTGTATTAAACAAATGATGATATTATTATTGTTTTGTGTGTGTGACTAGTTTCATATTCAATATATATACATATACATTTTATTCATTTAATAACGATTGTGTTCAAATTCTCTTAGTCATTATCTCATATACAAAATAATCAAATTAATTCATTGTTCATCGACTCGCTGCATCTGTTGAATATTCTCCTTTTTAGGGAAATCTGTACAAAGTGTTCTGAACTTAGGCTTCGTGTTAGTTAACACTCGCCACAATAGGATAATCTGTATTCCTAGAGAACTCGATACTCACTTTGAGATTAGAATCCGAAATCACCTTATGTCTACAAGAGATAAAACGTTCAGGATTTCCCTGTGTTATTCTAATCACAAAATGTTGATACACTTAAATTAGTGACTGTATTGTAGCTTGATCGCTAGAATTCTGACACTACTAAGCATTATACAAATATGATATTATTAATTAGCGTTTTGTGATCAATTAGTATATAAGGCTGTCCACAATTACTTGATTTAAACCGCTATTCACACCAACATCATCGTGGTCAATGAATCGATCTGAAAAAAACCTCAGTCAAATAAACTCGCATAGTTAAGATGCAATTACTATTCCTATAAGACTGTCAGTGTTAGGAATTTATAAAAATTATAAAGTTAGTTTCTGCATTATATTAACTGTCCTTTATCTTCTATAGGTTTTTATGTATCGTTAAGTATTATCTACTTCTTTTTGTAATCAAATCACTTTCTGTGTATTTGCACAAATTTATAGGTCTGTGTCTTTTTTTCATCAGTTACCTTAAGATGAGAGGAAAAACACTCTGTCAATTATAAGGATTTTCATTTTTGTTATACAATATCTTAACAGTATATTTTCTATGCCTGTATGAGAAAGTTGAAATTTAATTTTGTATGTTAAAGAAAATTAGTTCATGTATCGTAAAATCAGACTGAATTTTTTATACATCAACTCATTCATCGCATATTTATTGTGCAATTTCACACAAAAATATAGTAATGATAATTATTATTATTTAAATGTAGAAAAATAATCTGTTAACTAATGATAATAAATTAATTACAGTTGCGAAATTATTCACTTAATCACAACATTAGTTTACTATAAAAAATGTAAATTCCTTGTCACAAAAATGTGACAAGTTCTCACCAGTAAATAGATTAAAATACAAAATAACTGTCTATTGCTTTCTGAGTTTCTCATAGTTTTTTCAGCAAATAGAAGTTTATGATTTTAAAAAATATCTGCCTTCTGTAATTCTGTCATAGGTGTTTTTGAAGTATTGCTCATATATCTTGCAACCACCGAGTAAGCAATGCTGTGGTTAAGAAAAGGGTACTAGGTAACAATGACGGATCGATTAATGAAGTGTTGAGTCTTCGTCAGTTGAGGTAGTTAGGAATGACCAACCACCGACTGCCTCGGCGAGCAATGTTTCGTGGTGTAGGAGTCGGTTGTAAGAAGGCTAGTGGCGGCCAAACAAAAACATTCCACAAATCCATGAAGTCACTGACAACTTGACTGAGTCACGTTGGTAGATGTGCAAACCAGGTTAGTGTCGGTGAGAAAATCGTAACCGATAGTTACAGACCTTGAGTGACATGACTAAAAATCGTTTGCAATGGCTCAGGTGCATCCATTGTTTGTGTTCGCTTGAATTCCAATCTCCTTAATTCCTCATGAACTTCTTTCTTCTTAAATTTACTTTACTGGTTTATACTTCTCAAATCATATATTCGATCTCTAATTTTCTCCATTACTCCTAAAACTTCGGTTACCTCTACTACAATGGGATTGGAACTGACAGTTCCGTCTCTGTGTGCTAACGTGGTATGGCAACTTGAACTGATGTATGTACGTACGAGGTTTTACGTTGCTGCTGAGTTTGAAACTCCACTTAGATTGTTTCCTTGGTCTAGTTACAGTATTGTTAATAAATGAATCACATTCTACATTCTTAGAGTTGACTTTAATCAGTATTCACTAATAAGTAGTAGGTTATTATAATATATTGAGTTAAGCAAAAGAAAACTTTGACATTCATTTCAAAACAGTGGTTTCATGAAGTCTGCAGCACCACGCCATTTATTCATCATACAAACTTTAATGATTAGTCGTTTAAATCTTTAAGTAATAGTATAGATCATTTTTTTTATATTTGTAATAATTCGATTACAGTATCGACTATTGTATATTTGATTGTTTGTGTGTATGTTTACTCGGTTATTACATGTCTAGCCTATCGTTTTCTGACTATAAATACTTAGTCATTGCTTCAGCGCATGGGAGTTGGCTCACACGCCGCCTCCATTTTGTTTCGCTTTGCTAGTTCGTTTTGCATTTGCATGTCAGTCTGCTTAAACGAATGCATGAAATTAATTTGTCCGCGAAATCGTATCTGGCTTCTTATCACCACCGTTGCACAAACGCGATTTGTCTAAGTATAATATACGGAGGTTGAAAGAAGATTTATTTCATCGCACACTTGATCATTTGTCCGACTGGAGTCACGTCTCGGACCACTAAAATGGTGAACCCTACTTCGGATTTAGCACGAGCCACTAATAGTTTACACTCTGAATTTTTGGTAAGAGATGATATTTTTTCCAAAAACGTGACCAATTTTCTTTACATTCATGATTAAATCATTTATCCTATAAGTAATTCAATCCTCTCGCTATATGCTGTGCCTTTGCAGGATTTGATTTGTCTACTGCTGAATTGATTAAGTACATATACTCTCGCATACGGAATCTTAGCAGGACTATAGTCAACACTAGTAACTATGTATCTAGCCAAAAATTATAATCTGTTTCTAAAATGTAATTTAATACAATCAGTACAAACCCAGAAAATAGTAGTCGATTACAAAAGAACAATGTGCACACATATACTGAACTGTAGCAAGGACACAGCGAAGTGAATCAATAATGAAAAGTTCCTCGTGTTTATGTCAATGATACAATTTCGTGACTTGTAGTTAAAGGGTCAGAGTAATAAACCGCCTGGGACTAATTGAGTTTTTAGCGGTGAGCGTTTAACTCAAATATTAATAGTTGACCCATTTTTATTGATGAAGATCAATAGCATTTGACAGATTAAGTGAATCTGCTCAAATCCTTGTGATCCTAAAGGTGGTTTCAATCTCAAAATTCGTATCAACTGAAAACCACAGACCATTGGATATTTTTCTGACTGGTTTTCGACTATTCAACAGTTCACATACAATCAAACTCAGAACGTCAAAGTATCACAGCGAATAAATACCGAATATTTAAGTCATTGAGTTGAAATCCTATGATTCATATTCTTGACTACGCAATCCCCATACAGCGCTGTTGAAGAGATACTTTCTCATTCAACTACCTATTTAATGCTTCCTAATTTTTTATCGCACTCCAGTGGGTGTTAGTTCTCAAGTATTGGTTAGAGTATTTTAAAAAGAATAGGATAATGATGGCTTGTGCCTAAATATAGCAGACCATGTCCTTTAAATCTAGCACACTACAATAGCGTCGTACACTATCCCATCACCTTTGGAAGGTCAGACAACCCGAAAATTATGAGAACATCATCAGAGCATACGACAGGCTAGGTATGTTGTTTAATTGGTTGACTTTTCTGATTTTTGTTCTCTTGACTAGATTGTGGTTTCGAAATCAATAATACCTATGATTGATAATTCTGGTCTTCACTAAATATCATAAAAATCTCTCAATACTATATACATTTAAAGTCATAAAGCTACTGTTGTTTCTCCATCGCATTCTTTCGGGGATTTTTTTTAAAATTAAATGTCTAAATAGAAATTCTACTCGCTGTTCTTCGATTTCTAAACATTTTTCAAAACATATCTGATAGTTATGACTGACTAGAATTTACAAAATAGAACAAGTAAACAGTTATTGCCAGTAAAATGTCCTTAGACTTCTAGATATTCAAGATTTATTGACTATTCATATTTTTGTTTTACTTTTCAAATGGATTTCCTGTGGCTAGTGAAACTCCTAATTGGTGACTTTCCTAAATCAGGAGTCGTGGATGCGCACTGCCGAGGAGTCCTATACCAGGACGAAATGGCCGTCCAGTGCTTCCAGGTTTCTAATAGTGGTCTAACATTGATCTATTCATGGTTTCAAAAATGTGTAACTTAACAATCTTCACAACCCCGTAATGCAAATAATTTTGTTACCTATTCAATGCTGAGGGTACTTTTCAAATTGTTACAATTCACATAGAAATGAAATGTGACTTAGCTGATTACTAGAACACCTACATTTGGTTATTAGCTATTAGTGTTCACTACTACCACCTTATATACCATTAATCTTTATTTAATTTCTTTAAGATCAATCCTACCTTATATTACGATTTCAGTCAGTGGTCATCTTGAAACTAGATTCATTCTGATTATGCGTGGTAACATAAGCCACCAATTATTAGTAGTTATAAGCTTTATATCCAACTCAAGTGGTGATGTTAGAACAATTCAGGAGCTCTTAATGGTGGACGTAATTATTTGTTTTATAGCTGTACATGATAAATAATAGCAATCCATAATATATGATAATATGTAATTTTTATGTGAAAGATAGAAAACATACTAATAAGGTCATATACTACTTAAATACGACAAGTTATTCAACTGAAACTCAGAGATATTAGATGTAATCAGATTTGAATGGTCTTTGGTGTAGCTATATGTTAACTCTGGTATATGGTTCATGTTGATGACAGAGTTGTAAACTGATTTATTATCCGTGATTTCAAAGATGATGACAATCGTAAACGTAAGTGCCGTGGAATTCAAAATCGACTCCAGATCTGTACTTCGTTTCACTTAGGAGGCCATCAATCGAATATCCTGGTTTTTTAGTGTTTCTTAATGTTCCCAGTGAGAGTTAACAGGAAAGTAAATATGGGTGAATTTACAATTTCTAATAAAGAAAATTTATTTCGATTGGTCAATAACTAGTTAAAAATATTGTGATTAATTGATAAAATACCTGACAAGAATAATTTAATGATCTATTTACTCTTATTTTTTTCTTTTCGTAA